AAATAATAGGCCATGTCAAATAATTTTTTTATTTTGGGAAATGATATTGTTACAGGGTATACACAACAATGTAAGATACATCTACAATATAATACATATGTAAATAAATCAGCTTTTAAGAGGGGAAAGAAAGATTCAGGACATGTCATCCATTGATTATCACCTCTAATCAGTGACCTCACTTATATTATTTGTTTGTTAACCTCTATTCTAGCGGACGTGCAGTATTACACATTAACTGATACGTGTTTTTAACAATGCGTTTGCTTTTGTTTTTCAGCTGCCATTTTGATGGCTCGGTCCTCTCCACCCTGGGTCACAGTGGACCGACCTTTCCTCTTCCTCATCAGACACAACCCAACAGGTACGCTCTCTCATTTAAATCTGCTTTACTCGACTTTAAAAGTGAGTAAAGCAGATGTGTTTGGAAAGCACCCAATTACTTCATACTGGGAGAAATTGAACTCGAAGCTAATAGAGGGATACATTAAGTGAAGTTAATGAAACAAGCTACTTAAGCTGCTTGACCAAACTACATTGAAAAAAAAGATAAATTGTACAATGTGTTTATAATGTAATATGATAACTAATTATACAAAAAAGTGTTGAAAGTAGTTAAAAGTAATTTAGCTACTTGAATGAATATACAGATATGATTATAGTTGAACTACCAGCAAGATAATGTAAACAGGTAATTTTATTACATTTATTTCAATATTCATTGTATATAATGTATTCATATAGAAGTATAGACTTAATATAGAAAATCTAATATTTGTAAGAAGCTAATTAATGCCTTTTTGTATTTGGTGAAGTCTGAAGTCATGTCACACAGAAATATCATGCCGTCTCGGGAGTGTTTATGAGATTAAATAACATCAACATGCTCCCAAACAGAGGGTTTTGGAAATATATCTGTTTTGGGATATAATACTAGATATATCATCTTTAATGTTAAACTTTTTGATATTGTGTGTGTGTGTCTTTTCCAGGTTATTAAACCTGTATTTTTATGTACTTACCGAACTATTTTTACTGCTCCTTGACTCACTTATATGCACATTACGGCCCGTCCACACGGCAGCGTGCGTTGAAGCTTGCCGGCGGGCGTGTCTGAAACTCGACCAACAACCAATCACATTAATCTCCCGCCCCGGACACACAAGCACGCGGTTTGATTGGCTAGCGCTTGTACTGGCATATGATTTGATTGGCTGGCGCTTCCGTCGACGCTTGAAAAGTTGAACTTTTCTCAACTTTTGAAGCGAGCAACGCGAGCAAAGCGAAGTGACGGAACCACAATGCAGTTCGGCAAAGCGTGACGTCACCCCATTCAAAGTGAATGGGAAGCGTCTCCGTTGAAGCACGCGACGCTGCCGTGTGGACGGGCCGTTACTGAGGATTATTTAACATCTAATTTTGTGAAAGCACCAATTTTCCAACTTACACTATTGTTGACAATTATTGATCAAAAATATTTAGATTTCTTTTCTGCACATTGTTCAGCCCTTTTCCATAGGCAACCAAAATAAGTAAAGCTAAACAAGTAAACTAAACTCTGTCCGAGGAGAGGCCTACAGTCTCAGAATTTGTAAACAAATAAAATATTGCAATAAAAATAAGCTGTATTTAACACAAGGTTTTCTCTATTTCTGTCCCAGGTACCATTCTCTTTATGGGCCAGATCAACAAGCCTTGAACCAGCGTCATCGTCGTCATGGGAAACGCTTTACACTGACACACACACTCACACTCACTCACACTCACACTCACACACACTTTGCTGTAGACTTATGTACAGTGTGGACATGTGATGTTATTTGTTTTTTAAAGGTTGCTTTTTATGTAACGCATAATGCTTTATAAAATGTTTTGCAGAGACCAGATTTTCCTGCTGTTTTTAATTTTTTGTATACTTTTTTTTTTTTGTATTTCTTACATTTTTAAAGACTTTGAATGTCAGTTGTGTATTTTTTTTCTTAACTCTGGAGTAGGATAATCCGTTTATTTATCATGTTGCTGTTTCAGTTTAAAATCATCCATCTCAAGTCACGTGAGTCCAGTTTGTTATCGAGTGTCTCTCCTGAGTTTCAGTGCTTCTCACCTCGAGCGCCTTGTCATCAGCTACTTTACAAAGTCTTCTGTTGTCATACTTGCTTCATATTTGTTCAAATAAATACACATATTTATAACATCAATGATTTTGCTTCATGTTTGGTTATAGTATTTCTCACAAAAATGTTTTCATTTTATTTCCTGTTTTATTTATAACATGTGCACTCATTCAAACTATATTACTGACTGTGGGGGAAACTTCTGAAGCAATTGGAAACAGGACTCAGAGAGAGGCACGATGAGGCTGGAACTTTGATGGCAAACACTGACGGTTTATTTGGAGTTACGGCCGGAGAATTGACAAGACAATAATATAATAATAATCAACATTCTTCATCAGCGAGACTAAACAAATATGGACCCTGAATCTAACTAGAGCGCTCGTCCATAGAAAAGAATGTGCGCCAGGGAACCTTCGTCCCTGAACAGTAAACTACCTCATGGCGCCTTGTGCTCTGTCATAGACTGGCAACAACAATACGCCCAAGCTGCCCCTCCTTAAGAGAGATAGCAGCAATACCCAAGGCCGTAGACCTATGCCACGGGAAAGGAGACAGTGAGAGGAGAAAACGATTAACTGTGTCGAAGGTTGAATACCTAAGCAAGTTATTCCCTAACACTAACCTGTTTAAAACACATCAATTTTTCTTTTTCTTTTAGGTCTAGACTAAAACAAAGTTATCATAAAATATTCAAAAGCATTTTATTCTTGACAAAGGGTCCTCTTCTTCACAATATTGAGCTTTCACAATACAATCTCATTAACAGACAAATATAGTTTATTGAACTTATATATATTTATATTGTTGCATTTCCCACATTGTATTTATACTAGTATTTTACTTAAATAAATGAAAAAGCACTTAATAGCCTAAAATACACCCAAAGTACCAAAAGTGTTAACTATGCAAAATGGTTATTTTTGGAAAGATATAACTGGTTGATAATAATTAATCTAATGTTTTACTTGTGCAGCTAGTAAAGGTTCTGGATAGACTTGTTCCAAATTGTTGTGAAGTAGAAGTATAAAGCTATAGCATGAAGTTGTTATATATAAAAACAGAAATGTAGTTAAAGTACCTTTTTCTTAAATTATATTTATTAACAGAACTATATGTATTTCAATCAGGAGAGACGGTTTTGATTTAAGAATACATATGTATTGCCAGGAATACTCAAATGAATGTAATGGGGTCTAGACACTGGTGGTGGTGAATGGATAGTTGGGGTCAGTCTGAATGGGAGTGGCTTAGCTTGACACTGGTGGTGGTGAATGGATAGTTGGGGTCAGTCTGAATGGGAGTGGCTTAGCTTGACACTGGTGGTGGTGAATGGTAGTGATGGCAAAATGAAGCTTTGAATGAAGCATCGAACCACTTGGACAATTGTGTCGGAAATAGGTTCATTTCTCGAAGCTTCAGTTACAGCGACCTCTCCTGGCGAAGTGCAAGGCTGCAGTGGGTTTAACGTATCTTTGCCTTGAAAAATATTCGATGTACACACACACAAGACTGAATATCATGTTCTATTTGCAATTAAAGATTGATAATTGTGCGTATTGGGTTATTGAGAAGAGACTAGAGAGTGCTGGAATTTTGTTTGGGCGGAGAGGGCCTTTTATCAGTTAATAAAGTATTAAAGTTGAAAAGGAATGATTAAAAGTTCATCTGTTCCGGGCTTTGAACAAGCTGCGCGGAGGACATTGTCGCTTCGGGCCGCCGGCTCTATCCACTGGGCTATCTATACCTTAAGTTAGTAACATGGTTTTCATATTAGTGTTAAGTGTCTTTTTGTTCACAAGTTCTCCACATTTCGAAGTGTTTCCCGAGCCAGAACGACCTATCTTTCTTCCTGGCTTGCTCTATAATGATCCAATTAAAATGCAATACCAACAACAACTCAACAGCAACAACGCAAACTACGACAACAACCCACACATTGCGCATTGTTTAGAGCGGTTATAAGTGTTGAAGCGCTCAAATTCGAAACTGTTTCAACCTGTCACCTGTCAGAATAGAGACGAGGCAGTGCATTGAATCGCGTGATTGGACCGCGAACCAGTCAAGTGATTCATTCAGGAAATGAAGCAGTTGGTGCTTCGGACGTCATATGTCACGTGATTTGAAGCAAGCTTCGAATCACTGCTTCTATGGAATAGGAAGTCCAGGGTTGAAGCTCCGTTCGAAGCTTCAGTGTCAAACTGCCATCACTAGTGAATGGATGGTTGGGGTCGGTCGACGCTCGCGAAACAGAGGGGCTAATCATATAACTTTATGTGGGGCCTCAAGTTGACCAGGGTCGGCCCTGACTTTAAGACTATAAATATACATATAATATAAATATATAATACATATAAAATAAAGTATGATATTACATTATTCCCTCTGCATTGGATTATTATGGGATAGGGTAATAACTTCATAATTAACTACATCTAAAAGCAGAAGTCTAGGGCAAATAATTGCAAGACTCTTCAGTGTCACAAAATGAGATGCATTGTGGGACATGTAGTTTATGGGCAACATGCTTCTGTAAAGCGGCAGTAACCGTATAATAATGAACGTATTATATTCTTTGCAAGCTCTTGCGGGCCACATAAAATGAAGTCGCGGGCCGGATTTGGACCACGGGCCTTGAGTTTGACACCCCTGCATTACGGTAACCCCTCCAGTCACTATGGTAACCCTGATTTGCAGTCACTACGGTAATCTTTCGGTCACTATGGTAATCCTACAGTCATCATTACGGTAATGTCTAGTCACTACGGTAACCCTTCCAGTCACTACGGTAATCTTATCCTACAGTCTTTACGGTAGTGCTGACAGCGGCTCCGGGTGTCAGCTGATCCTCCTTCACTGTGGAGAAAACCAGCTGAAGGAAAACACTGCTGGATAAAAACCATGGCTGCCGAGATTCATTCGAGGCCTCAGACCGGTTCTTCTGAACAAAATCGAGGGCCACTCGGACACTGTGAACTCGGCCGTTTTGATCCCCAAAGAGGATGGAGTTATCACGGTCAGCGAGGACAGGTGAGGGCTAACGGCTAAAGCTGGAAGTAGCTAGCACCGGGCTCCGTCTATTTGCTGGAGGGCGTAGGGATAAATATCCATGAATGAATTGACTTTTTCCCATATATATCCGCTATCATACACACAACCACAAAAAGGGGGATATTACATAAGGTTTTCTGTCGCTAACGACTCAATATTTCTTTATTTACAATATTATTTGAGTCTATTTTGACATGGCTAGCTAGCTAATGCTGATAGTAAACATTACCTTATCAAACTGTTGCCTTCATGTGCAATGGTGTAAAGTAATTAAGTACATTTACTCACATACTGTAGTTAATTACAATTCTTAGGGAATTGTATTTCCATTTTATGCTACTTTGTACTTCTACTCCACTATAGTTCAGAGGTAAATGGTGTACTTTTACTCCACTACATGTATTTAATACCTTTAGTTACTTCACAGATGTGGATGAATTATGTGAAATATAATCAAGTGTTAAATCAGACTTTAGTTCCACCTGGAGTAAATTCACAAGCTACCCTGCTGTATACAAAGTCATTAAAACTAGCTGCACCTTTATCAGCTTTGATAACACTTTCATGATCAATCATTATAAAACATATCATATTATTCTGAAATGGACCAATCTGCCCAATGACTACTTTTACTGTCGCTACTTTATCTATATTTTGATGATAATACTTTCCTACTTTGACTTGAGGAACATTTTGAATGCAGGACTTTTACTGTAACAGAGTATTCCTACACTCTGGTACTTCTACTTTTACTCAAGTACAAGATCTGAGTACTTTTACTCAAGTACAAGATCTGAGTACTTCTACTTTCACTCAAGTACAAGATCTGAGTACTTCTACTTTCACTCAAGTACAAGATCTGATCTGAGTACTTCTACTTTCACTCAAGTACAAGATCTGAGTACTTCTACTTTCACTCAAGTACAAGGTCTGAGTACTTCTACCACCTCTGTTCAAGTGCATCTCGTAATCTATAGATGTTTAATTCATTTGTCTTATTGACACGTTGCTTGATAATACTTTGCATATAAGCTACGCATGATTCACCCCCCCCCCCCCCTGAACATAACATCTTTGTAATCTGGGTGCAATAAAAAAAGTGTATTATGGCATGCAAGAGTGATTAATCATCAATAAATCAATACCATGGGGCAGTGGTATAATTAGACTTTAACAGACTCTTTCCACTTTCTCTAGCTAGAATGTATCCGATGTTAAGCTGAAAGCATGCTTTAAAAGAGTGAAAAAGCTACATCCTCATTCAAAGTAAAGGAAACTTGAACTATGTGATGCAGTGCTGGGTTTAAAGGGGAAGTTGTGTGTGTGTGTGTGTGTGTGTGTGTGTGTGTGTGTGTGTGTGTGTGTGTGTGTGTGTGTGTGTGTGTGTGTGTGTGTGTGTGTGGTGTGTGTGTGTGTGTGTGTGGTGTGTGTGTGTGTGTGTGTGTGTGTGTGTGTGTGTGTGTGTGTGTGTGTGTGTGTGTGTGTGTGTGTGTGTGTGTGTGTGTGTGTGTGTGTGTGTGTGTGTGTGTGTGTGTGTGTGTGTGTGTGTGTGTGTGTGTGTGTGTGTGTGTGTGTGTGTGTCCAAATCATCTCAGCAGACAGAGAAGCATCAGGTGGCTCTTTTGTGTGTGTGTGGACTTTTTAGGTGAATAGAAAGTAAAACTTTAAACCTGATTCCCTAAAAGCTGACTGAAGTTTCATATACTGTACACTTGACCTAGAAAAACGTAGAGAGTGAAGTTACCTTTCGTGTTTAACTATTATTTTCATTATCATTTTATCTACTGATTATTTTCTCGACTACTTTCTCGAACATATTCACCTGTATGTGATATAAAACAGAGAAAAGAGGGACATCTCCACATTTGAGAGGCTGAAAACAGCATTTTCTACTTTGGAAAAAGTACTGTAATTTATCGAATATCAAAATATGTAAAGCGACTTACTGTTACAGCTCTTATGTGTGACACTTAAGGGTTCAAAATTGTTCACTTAAGTAGAGTAATGATTTTTTTTAAAAGCATCGAAAGAGCTTTACGGTATAAACATCTACTTGAATTTGGTACTAGCTAAGCTTCAGTATCTGTAACGTTAACAAAGCAAACAAATGTATCTAATATATATAATCTAATATATATCATTCCAATAACTTGTATATAGACTCGTACTGCACTATTCCACATCATCACTTTATTTTATAACTATTTTTCTTTTTGTATTGCTCTTGCTCTTATTGTTATTATGTTATTATGTTGCATTGTTGGAGAAGCCTGTGACATAAGATGTTCAACTACATAATTACTCTGTAGCTATGTCAGATTGACAATAAAGAACCTTGAACCTTGAAGCTTGTGTTCATGGCTGTGGTCAGACTTGGATAAAAGTCAAGACCAACCAAGAATGATTTTACACCAACATAGAACATTTAAACACACAGTCAATACATTTGTCCGTGGTGTTTGTGTGTCTAAAGAGAATTACAGCTGATTTTCCAGACGAGGATTAAGCCCAGTCTCAGTTCACTGGGTGTTTTCCATCGAGTGTTTCCAGGGAAAAGAGACATGTTTTTTTACTGTCCTTCACTAAAGCAGCTCTCAGTCACCTAACACTACAATGTTGGTCTGTGATCAATTAGGTGATTTAATCCATCATCAAACTAGAGATACAAGGCTTCAGGATTGAATGAGATTTGAAGGAACCACTCTTTTCACGTCAATCCAACATTAAATATATGAGTTTAATCCCAAATCAAATGTAAGCTAAATAGTCCTGATCCTTTTTTTTTACATGTATGTTCCCTTGTTTCATTTCTTAAATATGTGTCTTTGTTTCTGACTTGATCTGACAATAAAGTATTATCTTTTTAAGCATCACATAAAATCCCGTGTTTAAAATAGATGTGCTTATACCATAGACTGTATATATAATATATATATACGTTTCTTGGAAGTAAGTCAATCAGCATTAATAAAGCATTAAAAAATACAATTAAATTAAAGGAATCTTAGGAAAATAAGACCAAAACAACCAATTACAAGAGGCAGTCCTACTTAATAGATTAAATTAGATATGCTTTACAGCATCATGTTTACAAGGCATTGCACATTAATACAAAAAAACTTAGAGTAACTATCTACTTATCAACTAGGGCTGTGCGATTATGGCAAAAATCATGATCACGATTATTTTGGTCAATAATTGATATCACGATTATTAAATACGATTATTCATTGACTTTGAAAACGTCAATTTATTGAACTTTAAAGCAAATTAAAATAATAATTTGAACAGTATCTGTTTAACTGTTGATTACCCTGAACGTATAATTCAACTGAAAAAACAATAAATAAAATAAATGATACATTTATATTTACATTTAAATAAATAATATCAAAATAATAAATACCAATAAAAAAAGATCAACAAATATTTTGGAGCGCACTTCAACAAGCTACTAAACATATATAAATATGATAAATACATTAGACTATAAAATAAATTACATGAAATATGTTGCAGTGCAGTCACAACCTAACAATGCAAAATAATCGTTTTTTTCGATGATGTTGTTTTTGTAATTGTGGCAGGCCAAAATCGTAATTGCGATAAAAAACGATTAATTGCACAGCCCTATTATCAACACTATTAAATATGTATATCTATAGAAAACACGATATAAAATGCACAGAATAAATTAGAATACTCTGTAATAGACCAACCTTCTACTTTTAAAGAATACCTATGAGGATAATATATATCCAAACATGACCAAGTGTGCAAGTTGCAGTTTTTAGAATTGAGGAAGAGTGTGATCAGTTTTATAGAAAGTATGAAACTAGGATGTTGTAGATTAAGTACTGTATATATTGACATGCTGAAAGGTCTTGAAATGCACTCAAAATAATGTAAAACAATACAAAATAGACGACAGAATATCCACATTTGATAATTATTCATTTACTTTCTTTTTTATTCAAGTGTCAATAATGCTCTCTAGTGTATTAACTTTTATTCTGTGTATATTATACTGCCTTTGTTTACAACACCTCTCTACTGTATTCAATTCCTATTCTACTGTTCATACTGTATACACGTATACTACACATTATACTGTACTTTACTGCTTCTCCTGCACTTCTGTTTGGATGCTAACTGCATTTGGTCGTCTCAATATTTATACTCTGTGCAATGACGGAAAAGCAAAATCTAATCTTAATTACATTTTCTCCATTTTCCATTAGAACCATCCGAGTGTGGCTGAAGAGAGACAGCGGTCAGTACTGGCCGAGCATCTTCCACACCGTCTCCTGTGAGTAGATCCGTGGGAACTATCCCTAATATGTGTGCACGTTCACGCCTGTTTTGGTACAAAGCGCGCCTCTCTTTCCTGCTCATGCTTCGTTTCCCTTCTCCCTCCTTTAGCTCCGTGCTCCTGCATGTCCTACCACCATGACAGCCGGCGCATCTTCATCGGCCAGGACAACGGAGCTATTGTGGTGAGAAAACTCAAATATAATGGTTAAATATTCTCACTCCAGGCTCACTGTTTAGGTTATTTATGTATCTATCAAGGGCAGTGCGCATTAATAAGCATTTCTGTAAATGTGGCCAAGAGGCTATTTGTCATCTGTAGTCCCTGGACAGATAATAATAATAATTTGGGCTGTCAGTCGATTAAAATATTTAATCACGATTAATCGCATGATGTCCATAGTTAATCGTGATTAATCGCAAATTAATCGCACATTTTTTATCTGTTCTAAATGTACCGTAGAGGAATATTTTTCAAGTTTTTAATACTCTTATCAACATATGAGTGGACACATATGCTTTATGCAAATGTTTGTTTATTATCATTGGAACAATGACAAATATTCTCCTGAATATTCTCAACACAACAACCTGGAACCTCTCTCTCTCTCTCTCTCTTTCTCTCTTCACTCTCTCCCAACCGTCTACTTCTCTGCACTGAGCCAGTTGCTCAAACAGACATGCCTGTTTACAGTTGTCGGCAAAATCCCGCTCCTCTGTCTTCATCTTCAGTCAAAGCATGAGACTGAAGTTCCCACTGTGGGTCAAAATAATGCGCTGTGATGTGCAGTCGACACGTTGGATGCAGCCCCTCGTTAAGCTGTAGCCACCCATTTAGCTATCGCTATCGATACCTTTTTTTGTATCCATATCTCTTGCTAGAATCTCCCACCATCCAACTAACAACAACAATAACAACAACAACAACAACGTCAAGCCTTTGGGCTCTGAAACTACGGGGCGGGCCGAGGACAAATACACATGCGTTAATCGCACGTTAAAATAATTAGTGGCGTTAAAAAATGTAAAAACTTAACAGGCCTAATAATAATACATTTGATTTGTATAGCACTTTAAAAACAACGTCATCTCAAGATGCTTCACAATTCGATTATTAAAAGTTATCTAAGAAACATATTTAATCATTTAAAACCTAATTTCATTGTAAGTTAAGTCAAGTTAATACAATCAGTAAAGACTTGGAACATATAGTAGTGGAAATGCTGATTTAAAAAGACAATAAAACATACATATTACATGGCAAGAAGTCAGCAACAGGCAGTACAGACGGACTGAGGGTTGTGAAATGCAAGACATTGTCCGAGCTGATTTCTCACTAACGATGTTTCTAAATGGGAGTTGTTCAAACTCTCGTTTTATGTATAAAATAAAACCTGAGTTTCTGGTTTTAAATAGGCCAAGATATCATTATTTAGACTCCTTCAAACACCCGTGGGTGCAGGAGAGTTATTTGATTTGATTTTCTGTTTGTTTTTCTTGCCCTCCAGGAGTTTCTCATCTCTGAAGACTTCAACAAGATGAGCCACGTCAAAACATATCCCGGTGAGAGACAGACGCACAACAACAACAACAACAACAACTGTCAAGTCATTTAGCATCAAGCAAGATGAGGCAGAGTTTCAGTGGTGTGCTTATAATGTGTATGCTAGACTTATTGTGATAATTGATTCATATTTTCAGTAATCTTTCATGCTGAATTAGTGAAATAATGCTGTTTGAAAAGACAACTCTTGTTCCAGCTTCTCAAATAAGAGATTTTGCTGCTTTTTGTACTTGAATTAAAGTAAATCACAACATCTAAACACTGCAATTTGGACTCTAGGATAGGGTTTACTCAGATCTTCAACAAGCGTTAAAAGAGATTGAATAATGTATTAATTGGAATTAAAATGCCTTCAACTAATTGTTCAAAGTCTTAACAAATGAGACCCATAAGACATGTTATTCACAATGAATGAGTCACGTTTTCTGTTGTGTTGTCCAATCGTAAATAATAGATAATTTCGATTAAGAAAATGTATCAAATGACTCTCACGATGAACTTCACCCAGACCCAGATATCGGAGAAATTGCAAATAAAATTGATATTTAAAGTGGACCTATCATGCTATATTTGAATAATATAGTGTAGGACCATGCCTATATAAGGCATATTTATACTTTTTTTTTTTCAAAATACCAAACAGATCATGCATTTTAGCCATGCCTCATTTCGCTCAATTTGACATTTTTTAGCTCTGTTTTTGCAAAGGCTGATTCAGTGAGAACAGCACCATCTACTGGCCTGGCATATGTACTACAGCGTCTCCAGCGCTTTCGAACGGCAATGGCCGTGGCTGTCTCCTCCTGATTGGTGGAGTTGGCCCAATAGCTGTAGCGCCACCGTCCTGACGTCAGGACAGTGTTCAAATCTGGATCAGTTTTTATCAGATCCGTTGCAGCCCCTTTTTTAGAGATTTGGGTATGGAGGAAAATAGAGAGGGTTGTGTTTTCTGACACTTGGTGAGTTCCCTGGAACACCGGGGACACATGTTCATGTAGAAAAGACGTACAAAAGTGCATTTTGCATGATAGGTCCCCTTTAAATTAAATCAGACTGGCAAAATATAGCCTTACTGGGTCTAAAACACAACTTGCATTAATAGCTGTAGGAACACTGTGGAAAGCAGCATTTCTTTCAAATTTCTCTTGACATTTCTTGACTAAACAATTATTTCAGCGTTTAAGTTTCATCTCCGGTCACGCTGCTATGATCAGAATGTTATGGACAGAGAAACAGCTCCTTTGACTCTGTAGATCATATCGAACAAAGCCTGTTGCTGTTAGAGAACAAAACTCCACGTCACCACAAAGCGCACACACATGACTCAGCGTGTGTGTGTGTGTGTGTGTGTGTGTGTGTGTGTGTGTGTGTGTGTGTGTGTGTGTGTGTGTGTGTGTGTGTGTGTGTGTGTGTGTGTGTGGTGTGTGTGTGGTGTGTGTGTGTGTGTGTGTGTGTGTGTGTGTGTGTGTGTGTGTGTGGTGTGTGTGTGTGTGTGTGTGTGTGTGTGTGTGTGTGTGTGTGTGTGTGTGTGTGTGTGTGTGTGTGTGTGTGTGTGTGTGTGTGTGTGTGTGTGTGTGTGTGTGTGTGTGTGTGTGTGTGTGTGTGTGTGTGTGTGTGTGTGTGTGTGTGTGTGTGTGTGTGTGTGTGTGTGTGTGTGTGTGTGTGTGTGGCCCTTAAGCCAATGCTTAAAAACAGCTTAGAGTTTCGGTATAGTTGTATATTAATATAACAGATCAAAGTAAAGGCTTTAGGAACATTTCTTAACTATAGCAGTACTGCATTGGATGGATAGATGGATGTACTTATTGATTTAAATTAGGAATGTATTGTGTTAAAGCAGCAGGTTACAAGAGCAGAAATACAATTATTATTATTTAATATAGAAAATGATCGGTAAATATATACAGATCAACAATAAAAGTCATATATCCATTGAGAAATAACTGTATAAAATATAAAGAAATAAGTAAGAATACACTACAATATACCAAATACACTACCTACTACTAAAATGTAAAAACCGAATGTAATAACTAATATGCAAATAAGTTTAAGATCTACAAAGAAACAGTGTTTTTCTGCACAAGTGAACAGAGGCAGTGTTAAAAGATGGATATATTTAGGTTGCGTTTCCCCTTAAAAAAGTTTCTTAAGAGCCTGTTGGTATCTAATTTAATGGCAGGAGAAAAGATTGTTTCGTAAAAGGAGCACTAGAATAAGGAGGACGGAGAAAATGGACTACGAAATGGTCGTGGTTTGGTTATTACGCAGCAATAAAGGCGAGGGGAAATAATATCCAAAGAACTTTCTCATTAATTCAAAGCAGTACCGAGTGGAGTAGAAAGCACAGAAATGTCCCGAGGGTATATTTTTGCCTCAGCTCTTATAATTAATCTCCCTGTCTTGTACTCTTGCCGAAAAAAGGAATGACTCATTTTTCTAGCTCTTCTTACTGTATAAGCGATGCTTTGTATTACTGTGAGTCATAACAACTGGATTCCTAAAAATACCATGAATAAGATAAATGTAACAGTCACAGGGTACGGTCTGTCTCCAGATAATGTTATTTATCAGCAATTTTCCATTTAAATGTTCCCTTTGAAATCGCTTTGAAAATGTTTTTTAGGAAAATGTCATTCCCCACTTTAAATGTTTTTGTTGCACCAAATGAGGTTATTTTAGATGTCTTGCTCATACATTTGTACTCACTTCTGCAAAGTTCAGCTTGCATTATTGTGGAAAATAAATATTGCTAAGTTAGTTACTTTCAATATCCTGCAGTCCTCTCTGCTCGAGGTTTAAAGAGATCATATGATCATTTTCAGGTTCATATCAGTATGTAGTGTCTCTACTTTAAAGAGTCCTCTCCTGCTGATGTTCAGGTGTATATCAGTACGTAGTGTCTCTACTTTAAAGAGTCCTCTCCTGCTGATGTTCAGGTGTATATCAGTACGTAGTGTCTCTACTTTAAAGAGTCCTCTCCTGCTGATGTTCAGGGTGTATATCAGTATGTAGTGTCTCTACTTTAAAGAGTCCTCTCCTGCTGATGTTCAGGTGTATATCAGTATGTAGTGTCTCTACTTTAAAGAGTCCTCTCCTGCTGATGTTCAGGTGTATATCAGTATGTAGTGTCTCTACTTTAAAGAGTCCTCTCCTGCTGATGTTCAGGTGTATATCAGTATGTAGTGTCTCTACTTTAAAGAGTCCTCTCCTGCTGATGTTCAGGTGTATATCAGTATGTAGTGTCTCTACTTTAAAGAGTCCTCTCCTGCTGATGTTCAGGTGTATATCAGTATGTAGTGTCTCTACTTTAAAGAGTCCTCTCCTGCTGATGTTCAGGTGTATATCAGTATGTAGTGTCTCTACTTTAAAGAGTCCTCTCCTGCTGATGTTCAGGTGTATATCAGTATGTAGTGTCTCTACTTTAAAGAGTCCTCTCCTGCTGATGTTTAGGTGTATATCAGTATGTAGTGTCTCTACTTTAAAGAGTCCTCTCCTGCTGATGTTTAGGTGTATATCAGTATGTAGTCTCTCTACTTTAAAGAGTCCTCTCCTGCTGATGTTTAGGTGTATATCAGTATGTAGTGTCTCTACTTTAAAGAGTCCTCTCCTGCTGATGTTTAGGTGTATATCAGTATGTAGTGTCTCTACTTTAAAGAGTCCTCTCCTACTGACGTTCACGTGTATATCAGTATGTAGTGTCTCTACTTTAAAGAGTCCTCTCCTGCTGATGTTCGGGTGTATATCAGTATGTAGTGTCTCTACTTTAAAGAGTCCTCTCCTGCTGATGTTCAGGTGTTTATCAGTGTGTAGTGTCTCTAATTTAAAGAGTCCTCTCCTGCTGATGTTCGGGTGTATATCAGTATGTAGTGTCTCTACTTTAAAGAGTCCTCTCCTGCTGATGTTCGGGTGTATATCAGTATGTAGTGTCTCTAATTTAAAGAGTCCTCTCCTGCTGATGTTCGGGTGTATATCAGTATGTAGTGTCTCTACTTTAAAGAGTCCTCTCCTGCTGATGTTCGGGTGTATATCAGTATGTAGTGTCTCTACTTTAAAGAGTCCTCTCCTTCTGATGTTCAGGTGTATATCAGTATGTAGTGTCTCTACTTTAAAGAGTCCTCTCCTGCTGATGTTCAGGTGTATATCAGTATGTAGTGTCTCTACTTTAAAAAGTCTCCTCCTGCTGATGTTCGGGTGTATATCAGTATGTAGTGTCTCTACTTTAAAGAGTCCTCTCCTGCTGATGTTCGGGTGTATATCAGTATGTAGTCTCTCTACTTTAAAGAGTCCTCTCCTGCTGATGTTCAGGTGTATATCAGTATGTAGTGTCTCTACTTTAAAGAGTCCTCTCCTGCTGATGTTCAGGTGTATATCAGTATGTAGTCTCTCTACTTTAAAGAGTCCTCTCCTGCTGATGTTCAGGTGTATATCAGTATGTAGTGTCTCTACTTTAAAGAGTCCTCTCCTGCTGATGTTCGGGTGTATATCAGTATGTAGTGTCTCTACTTTAAAGAGTCCTCTCCTGCTGATGTTCAGGTGTATATCAGTATGTAGTGTCTCTACTTTAAAGAGTCCTCGCCTGCTGATGCTCAGGTGTATATCAGTGTGTAGTGTCTCTACTTTAAAGAGTCCTCTCCTGCTGATGTCCAGGTGTATATCAGTATGTAGTGTCTCTACATGTCTCCATGCTTTAATGTTCAAAAAGCTCTTTATTTTTCTCATACTGCCTGTGCTGCAGCACCTCTTTTCACCCTCTGTCTGAAACCAGAGCCCAGTTTGCTCTGATTGGTTAGCTGGCCGGCTCTGTTGTGATTGGTCAACCTGCACTAAAACCTATATAACACACTACAGGGAAGGGAAAACCCCCACAAAAGCACAATAGGGCCTCTTTAAATAAGCCACTGTTTTCCTAGCAAGGTTCACCTGATCACCTGAATGAAAGGATATGGTATGAAATAAAAATCTGTCGCATCAGCACATTTTGTATTACAGCTTTTAGAGTTCTGAACAGTGAGGTGAATAAACAGCTCTTTTAGACGTGATCCCAGATGGAGCATTAAGACGGTCTGAAGGGATTGGTCTGTCTCAGTGTGGATTAAAGTGACACTAAGCACAGCTTCAGATAATGCAAAGAGGAAACTACTCTCAGCCAGGGCAGCTGGGATATAAAGACTAATGAAATAGTTGGATCTAGTTTATCCAAAATCACTTTTAACATTAAATTAAGGCTGCGATTTATCATTTTTTTATATTATGGATCAATCTGTTGATTCTTTTCTAGATAACTCCATGAATTGTTTGTTCTATAAAATGTTAGAAAATCATGAAGACGTCCATCCCAGTTTCTGTGGGTCCAAGTAAATGTCCACAAATATTTACTTTTATTTGATAAAACAGGCTATATCCATATTTGAGATGTTGCAAATGGAGCTACTGTGATCTAAAACAATCTCAGGCTTGATTAACAATATAGTATTAGCGCATTGTCTCCAAAAACGATCATGCAAAAGCACCAATTCATATATTGATTTTACCAGAGGTGTTCTTATAAAATTATAAAAAGGTAATTCAGCTTGAAAAAAGCATTAAAAATGACTATTCGACTAATAAAATCGGAGTTGAGCAACACCTAAACGACCAGAAAGAGGGAACAATTCCATGATATTTCCTTTTTTAATATGATATAAAACAGAAAAAAGCAGGAAATCTCTGTATTTGAGAGGCTAAACAAATGCATTTTCTGACCTTATTGCATGAAAAATGACGTATGCACTAATCTAACAGTTCTTATCTTTGCAGCTCTACAATAATGCTGTGTGTGTGTGTGTTTTGCAGCCCATCAGAACCGCGTGTCCGACATGGTGTTCTCCCTGGAGAGTCAGTGGGTGGTGAGCACGGGACACGATAAGAGTGTGAGCTGGATGTGCACGCAGAGCGGCAGCATGCTGGGGCGGCACTACTTCACCGCCTGGGCCTCCTGCCTACAGTATCCTCTCATCTGTTTGAACTTATTCTTAGTTAAAAGTACAATCACAAGACAGAATGGAGATATGTATAATGGAACTCCCGATGAGCTATCCAAAGCTTTACAATAGAGACACTAAACAGAAAGCATTTAAATGATTTCTTACTAACATATCCAGAACGCGAGAGAGTTTGTTATTTTTACATTTACAAGCAAACACCTAGTGTTTCCACCCTTAACACTAACCAAATACCCTAAAACTAATCCAACCCTGACTACAAAAAAGTCACAAAACATTGAATTTATCAATGATTGGTTTAAAATATGTAAGACATACAAATCACAGATATATGATAAAGGGGAAATAATGGTACAAGTTAAGAGCATTTAAAATCTAAGGATTATTTATACAGTACTTTCATTCACAAAGTGCTTTACACACCAAAAATAAAAACTATTTCAGAGTAGAATAGTTTAGACGTTTCCCAGCCATTTAGTATATTCAAGTTCTGACTTATTTTAATAATAACTGCTGCAAGACAGACGCAGATAAAGACGTTCTCAAGTTAAAATGTGTTTATTCGCTGGACCATAGTTACATACAGTATTGCCAAAGCATTGTACAAATAATGACAACATGCATCTACTGTATGTACACAGTTGTTGTTAAAGGAGAATTACATTATGTACACAAATAACACATTTAACTAAAACAATCTCAATCAGTACTTATGGACCACTGGAAACCACTCTCAAGCTGGTACATGTAATATTATATGTATGTTTTCTAGTCTTATATATTAATGCAGGGGGTAATGAGTTAAGTAGATCCATCAGTCCCTCCCTGTGTGTGAAGCATGTCTGAGTATGAACCTGTTTGAGCCCTGACTCTCGCTCAGATACGACCACGAGACGCAGCACGCCTTCATCGGCGATTTCTCGGGTACGATCACGCTGCTGAAGCTGGAGACGCAGACGTACTCCACCATCACGACACTGAAGGGACACGAAGGTAAACACACACCTGCGTTCATGTGTCATGTGTGTCATTGAAGCAGAACTAATGTGTTCTCCTGGTGGATCTCACACACTCTGCGCAGATAGCTTGTCTGATGCTGAAACCAGATATGCAGATGTGGCCGCGGTAAACAAAAGATGACCCAAAATCCCAGACACTTTTTATTTGCAGACACATAGGATAAGATAAGATCCCTGTAAGAAAAAGTGTTACCCCACTTAAAGTCCACATGAAGTTATAATAGAGGTAAAATTAGTTAAAATCCAACTTACCATGTTTGTTATAGCTTTACCCCCACCTGCGAGGCGACCCCCCCCCCCCCCGCACGTCACAGTTTCTCCGCTGTGAGGCTCCACTAGCACCCCCCCCACCCACAGCACGTCACAGTTTCTCCGCTGCGAGGCTCCACTAGCACCACCCCCCCCGCACGTCACAGTTTCTCCGCTGTGAGGCTCCACTAGCACCCCCCCCACCCACAGCACGTCACAGTTTCTCCGCTGCGAGGCTCCACTAGCACCACCCCTCCAGCCCGTCACAGTTTCTCCGCTGCGAGGCTCCACTAGCACCCCCCACCCACAGCACGTCACAGTTTCTCCGCTGCGAGGCTCCACTAGCACCACCCCTCCAGCCCGTCACAGTTTCTCCGCTGCGAGGCTCCACTAGCACCCCCCCCCCCCCCCCCAGCACGTCACAGTTTCTCCGCTGCGCAAGGCTCCACTAGCACCACCCCTCCAGCCCGTCACAGTTTCTCCGCTGCGAGGCTCCACTAGCACCCCCCACCCCCCCAGCACGTCACAGTTTCTCCGCTGCGCAAGGCTCCACTAGCACCCCCCCCCAGCGCGTCACAGTTTCTCCGCTGCGAGGCTCCACTAGCACCCCCCCCCCCCCCCAGCACGTCACAGTTTCTCCGCTGCGAGGCTCCACTAGCACACCCCCCACCCACAGCGCGTCACAGTTTCTCCGCTGCGAGGCTCCACTAGCACCCCCCCCCCAGCACGTTACAGTTTCCTATGTTTTGGTGCGGACTGCGTTCACACCAGCGATGAACCGCTCCAGAGTTCACTAGCAAGCGGTCCGAGACCACCTCTTTGAGGCGGACCAGAGTCCGGTTGTTTAGTTCACTTCAGAGGTCTCGGGCTGCGTTCACACCGACCCAAACGAACCGCACCAAGCGGGTAAACACACCAGGGTTCGATTCAACCGGACTAAACAATGCTGGTGTGAATGCGACCTTAGACTATCACAACATATAACCCAGCATAACGCCTGCTGCTCTTATTCGGCCTTTACAAACTCCAGTGGATAAATAGGAATAGTTCTGGCTCTCTGGTGTCGGATGTTTGCTTTACGGACTCTGACATTTACTTTATAAGTGGATAGAGCTCTGCTGGCAGACCAAGTCCACACAAGAAATCCCATTGTGTGGTTTGGAGGATGTTAGGGAACATTTTCTCTCCTACGGCTTCTCATATCTGTGGTTTGAGATCTGGCAGCTGTTTGTTGTTGAGCTGCTCAGTGAACGTTTGAACTGTTTAGATGGGAGTATTGACATCCTGAAAAACAGATGAATGCATCTCTCAGATTTTTATTTGTTAGGGTTCTTGTAGCTGTGCCAAAACAATGGATTGCACAACACAAATGCATGCCCTTTTAGAAATAATCAAAAGGAAAAAATAAATCCTTACAACAAAACAGTTTAATGCATTTCATAACTCTCTCTCTGCAGATGTGCCTCGTGATAATGCATATTAATTAAACAGAAAGTAATGCATATTAATCATAATGATAGATATGAAAGGGAGTGGTGCTGGAGTTCCTCCCAAATATTTAATGGAAATTATGATTGATTACATTTTGAGGCACAAGAGAAATGTCTGACCTTTCCAATCTGTAACCTCATGTGATCTCAACAGTGGTGTCTGGGCGACTGCAGTAGTCGTATATTGACCTGGAAAAGAATAAGTAAAAAAATAGGTTTTAAGAGGTTTTGAGTTATTAAGCTTCCTGCAGTTCTCCCAGCATGCACCAGGTGGAGCCTCAGTCCCTCATCAGGCTCTTTCAGCATTTTATGGCCCAATTTCAAACCACAATCTCACTCTGTGACGTCTGTAGTCTCACTGTCAGCTGAATGAGGCTCCTTCTTCCAGGTGGGGGGGTTACAATAGTCAACACCTCTAAGACAAGAAATATAAAAACTAATTATAATAGAATTCAGAAAAATCTTTAGTGGCATTTCTTTTTTATCCAATCCTCTTTTCCTTTTTTAAATCTGATGTTTATGAGACGCTCGTTTATTGCAACAGTCCCTGCAAATATACAGAACTTTTTAAAGGGGACCTATCATGCAAAATGCACTTTTGTACGTCTTTTCTACATGGATATGTGTCCCCGGTGTTCCAGGGAACTCACCAAGTGTCAGAAAACACAACCCTCTCTATTTTCCTCCATACCCAAATCTCTAAAAAAGGGGCTGCAACGGATCTGATAAAAACTGATCCAGATTTGAACACTGTCCTGACGTCAGGACAGTGGCGCTATGGCTATTGGGCCAACTCCACCAATCAGGAGGAGACAGCCACGGCCATTGCCGTTCGAAAGCGCTGGAGACGCTGTAGTACATATGCCAGGCCTGTAGGTGGTGCTGTTCTCACAGAATCAGCCCTTGCAGAGCAGAGCTAAAAAATGTCAAATTGAGCAAAATGAGGCATGGCTAAAATGCATGATCTGTTTGGTATTTTGAAAAAAAAAGTATAAATATGCCTTATATAGGTATGGTCCTACACTATATTATTCAAATATAGCATGATAGGTCCACTTTAAGTACAAATGCACGTCTACCGTTTTGTAGACACTGGTGTATATATGATCATAAGAAAATAAAAAGTTGTTTACGTCTGTATACGATCACATGTCTATCTTCTTTGCGCAGTTTATTAGTCAATGTTTGCACAGAACTGTTTGTACAGATAATGACAACAAACAGTGTTGCACATGGTCAGGTAGAGCAGCTGTTTAATCAGGACCGACACAGTCTGCTGTTTGAGGGTTTCATACATTCCAGGAGTGGAAGTGGGTTAGGGGTCGGTTTGGAATTGGGCTTTGTTAAACACCTGAACCTTTGAAAGGACATCCATAACATTCATCTGTTTGCAACTTATATATATAATCAATATTCCAATTACTTGTATATAGACTCTTCTTGCACTATTTCGATTATATTCTATTGTATTTACTTGCACTATTATCTGTTTTATTGAGCCTGTGACCTCAGATTGTAATTGTCATAACTACACTGTAGCTATGTACACATGACAATAAAAGCCTTAGCCTTGAACTTGAACACGTGTAACAGGTTGTTTCCTTTTTCCATTTCTCTTCAGGCAGCATAGCCACCCTGTGGTGGGACCCGGTTCAGAGGCTGCTGTTCTCGGGGGCCTCGGACCACAGCGTCATCATGTGGGACATCGGGGGCCGCAAGGGACGGACGCTCCTGCTGCAGGGACACCAGTGAGTCCACCTGAGTTATAATATACTCTATTAAGCTCACCTCCTCTGTGTCAAAAACTAAATCATTGAAAGTAAATGTAGCAGCTTGAGAGATTTGCAGCGCTCCACAGGTTTGAATGAGATTAATAACACTATAAACTAATCTTTATCTGTGTCAGAATGTATTCATATGTGTGCCTCACAACAGTAAAGGGACAGCAGTGCAGATAAAAGACAAAAGGAAAAACGAGTAGACGGTCTTCAGGGTTATTGGATTTTTTTTGTAGGTGTTTTTTATCTTGTATGTCGTTTACTGTTACTCTGTAGTACATCAACTCTCTCCAGTTCTACATGAGTAAGATATATTATACATTCTTTTTAGTTTAGTAACTTTCTTCTGGTTGTGGGTGAAACTTCTGAAGCAATGGAGAGTCAGGACTCAAAGAGAGACACGATGGAGAGCTGGAGCTTTGATGGCAAACACTGACGGTTCATTTGGAGCTTCGGCCGGAGAATTCACAAGACATGTCACGGGGACACGAGTTGACCACAGGTTGAGATGTCACAATCAATTCTGAAGACCCCTCCTGTAGCTCCAGGTTTGAACTAGTTCAGAGTGTTATCATCAACATTCTTCAATAGATAGACTAAACAGCTGAGGACACTGAATCACATTTGTTGTCGCTTATGGCTCGAGGTCATCTACACCCCGAGAAGGATGTGTTCCAGGTGTCCCACAACAATAACTATCTCTGACCGACAGTAGCCCGGTCATAAACTGGCAACATCAACAACTTGCTAGGGCAGCCCCTCCTTCAGGGAGATAACGGCTGCTCAAGGCTGGTCATCTGCGTCAGAGGGAGAAGGAGGAGGACATGCAGGGCGAATGATTCCCCAACACTGGTTCAAATTGTGATGATTGTTTATTGTGTGTTCCCTCAGTGAGCGTGTGCAGTCTCTGCGTTACCTGCAGCTGACCCGGCAGCTGGTCTCCTGCTCGGCTGACGGAGGCATGGCGGTGTGGAACATGGACACCCCGAGAGAAGAGGTGCGTATCATCATCATCATCATCATCATCATAATACATTGGATTTTTATTGCGCTTTTTCTAGTGTCCAAAGACAATTGAGTATATCACTATCACTTTATAACAAAACAAGAGAGAAGAGGTCCGTATAATAATCATAACAAACACACAATAAACCATTTTTTGTGTGTGTGTGTGTGTGTGTGTGTGTGTGTGTGTGTGTGTGTGTGTGTAGGCGCCTCAGTGGCTGGACAGCGACTCGTGTCAGAAGTGTGAGCAGCCGTTCTTCTGGAACATAAAGCAGATGTGGGACACTAAGACCATGGGGCTCCGACAGGTAACACGTTCATTTAGTATAGCGCCTTTCAAAGAAATAAAATTCACAAGTAAGAACAAAAGAAACACGAATACAACATGAGGCAGAAATGTAAGGTTAACATAAAAACAAAACACAGACCACGTGGAGTCCCGACAGGAACAAACATAAGAACACATCACACACATCTCAAGTAGAAACAAAAGCCAATGTAAAAAGATGGGTCTTCAGTTGTTTGGTAGGGTCATGTGACCTCAGTGCTTCAGCCACGATGATTTATGATGTGATTTACATCCTGATTGAAAACCCTCTCTGTTTCCTCCGTGCAGCATCACTGCAGGAAGTGCGGCAAAGCAGTGTGTGGGAAATGTAGTTCTAAACGCACCTCGTTTCCCATCATGGGCTTTGAGTTCCCGGTGAGGGTGTGCGACGCCTGCTTCGACACCATCAAAGAAGAAGAGTGAGTGAAAAGTTTTGTTTCTCCAACTTAAAAACATAAGAAGATCATTAAAGGTGGGGTAGGTAATTCACTTCAGAAACACTTGTTATATTCCATGGAATGCTCTTAACATCCCGATAGCAATGAATACATTAAATGCTTTGACAATAAATACATAACAAAATGTCATCTGTGGAAGCCGTGGCGCTGTAAAAAGCACGACCAATCATCTGAGCCGGCCCGGCTAAAATAACTGGATGGCCTACCTGCCTGTCAGCCTTCCATCGGGGCACAAACTTATCTCGTGCCCTCATTGGTCATGTGCGCGTTCGTGTGTGTTGGAGGAGGGGCTCTGTAAGGAAGTCTGAAGGAAGGGGCAGATTCTTTTCGGCTGCGTACTTTTAAATTCTGGTTTCTCCATTCTTACCCTACCTTTAAGCATACTTCCAGAAATAATAATACCATGTTAAGATCCATAAGGTTTGATTTGAACCACATTTGTTATTCAGTATTCCTATTTTCAATGCATTTACTACAACAATGCAAGTTTCACAAGACAGTTTGGAGGTGGAATAACATTTGATTTATGATTGAAACTTTGCAGCATGACAGATATAAACACGGAGGAATAGAAACTCGTGTTTCTTACAAATGTAGGCTGAACTCATTATAAAGATGCAATTCAATGCAGCTAAAACGCTGTCTAAATGTCAGGACAAAAACATGTTTTGTCACGAATTAAATGGATTATATTAATTTGAAATGTATAATTTAAGTGTTCTTCAATTATAAGGCAATTAAGTAAATCTCACTGAATTATTTAGGCTTTATTTTTCATACTTAAAGTGTTTACTGTCGTCGGCAGGTACTTCACATTAAAACTAATTTAAAAGGGAGAACATTCATTTAATACGAGTCGGAGAAACACTCTGAATGTTTTTATAATTGGTCGCAGTGTATCCTGATTTTCACAGTACTCAGGCCAACTCTTTAATGTGTGTGTGTGTGTCGCTCTCTCTCTCTCTCTCTCTCTCTCTCTCTCTCTCTTGCTCTCTCTCTCACTCTCGCTCGCCCTCTCTCTCGCTCTCTCTCTCTCTTGCTTTCTCTCTCTCTCTCTCTGTGTGTGTGTCGC